CTCCCCCGGACCCCCTCCCCGGCCCCTGCCGGGGGGCCGAGGAGCCGGCGCGCGGGCGCGGGCGCGGCGCGCTCGGGGCGCGGCGAGCCGCCGAGGCCGGGCGACCCTGTAGTCCATCGGCCTGCGGCGCCGTGAGCCGCCGCTTCGCGGCGGTTTTGCGCCGCAGGCGCCAGGCCAGATCTTCTGGCCGGAGGGCGTAGCTTTTGTCCGAAGGTCGCGAGACAGCCATACGATGCGCTCCGCTCGATTTGTGTCCCACATCGCTGGTTCGAATCTACGGCCTCTCGCGCCGCGACACCGGGCTCGCCAGAGAGCCCCTACGGAGAGGATCGTGGGGAAAATACGCTTTTTCCCGGAGAACGACGTCGTAACGGCGACGCGGCGGACCGTTTCGCGCCTCGGCGCGGCGAGGGGCGGTGTAGATCTGTATTCTCGCGACGCGCACGCCAGGACGTACGCCCCGTCCACGTGGGCCACGCGTCCCTTTCGTTGCGCGGGCGTCGGCGCGCTCCTCGCGGAGCGGCAGAACGCGGTGCGGAGCTTTACGAGTCGCCCCCCTAGCGGAGGTCGCGGGGGCCGCGCCAGAAGGTGAAGACGTGGCGGAAGACATCCTCGGGCACCTCGAAGAAGAGGCGCTCGTGCAGGGAGGGGGTCGGCGGGAACGCGCGGCGGAACAGGAGGCGGCGGAAGGCCAGGAGGCGCCGGCGGAAGCCGAGGAGCTCCTGGCGGGGCAGGTCGACGTACGCCCGCCAGCTGCCGGCCGCGCGCATGGCGCGGAGCAGCCGGTAGCACCGCATTGGCATCGACCGCGGCCGCGCGAGGTCGACGGCGTCGACGTCCGCGCCGCGGCTCAGGAGCACGCGCGCAATGGCCGGTCTGTCGAGGAAGAGGCAGACCTCCAGAGGGGTGTAGCCGCCGTCCCGGAGCTCGATGTCCGCGCCCGCGTCGAGGAGCATCTCGGCGATGTCCGCGCGCCGGCAGTACGTGAGCGCGTGGCGCAGGCGCGGCGGATAGCCCACGACGAAGGCGTGCGCCGCGCCCGCGGCGAGGAGCAGCGACACGGCCCGCGCGTAGTTGTAGTGCAACGCTTGCCTGAGCAGACGGTCGAGCGTCGACGCGCCGACGAAGTCCAGCCAGTTCTGCGTGTCGAGTCGATCGTAGTGCTCCTCGAAGTGCTCGCGAAGCAATCGATGTTCGTCGGCTTCTTCGGCGGCGGACAGGGCCGGGAACGCCGGCGCGGTCTCGAACCACTCGCCCTGGTAGTAGAACTCGTAGGAGACCTCGTCATAAAGCGGCGGCACGTCGGCCATGCTTTTAGACTTGGAAGCGGCACGGCCAGCTCCTTGGGGTACCTTGAAGGCCTCCTTGAAGGCGGCCTCTCCGCGGCGGCCTCGCGCGACTACGCACTGACTAGGCGCCCTTACGTTACTCAGCTAACCTACCGTGGCGTAGCTAAACTACCGTCGAGGATGTCGCTCATCATGCGCTGGCGCAAGTGGGGGATGTCGGCCTGGCTGAAGTTGAGCGGCAGGCCGAGGGACAAGTAGTTCGCGTAGAACGCGACGAACACCCCGCAGCTGTTGGCGTCCCTCTGGACGGGTGTCACCGACAGCGTGTCGACGAACGTGAACTCGTCGGAGAGGGGCACGCCCTTCTCGGCCTCGTGCTCGTCGCGGAGGTACTGGCGGATCCCGCGGAGGTAGGATTCGCCGTCATCGCCGTAGCCGTCGAAGT